GGGCGCTCAGGCCGACAAGCTAATGGGGGGCCCCTGGCGGCTGCAGCCGGGCCTCTTTTGCTGGTCAGGGGGGCGGGTCTCCTGCGGTCTCAAGGCCGCGCAAGCCAGGTACCCCGGAGGGTGTGGGTAGTGCTGCAGCTTCTGCCTCTCTTTCGATAACGGAGCCCAGCACGCAGCGTGACCTTGGGAAGGGAGGACAAAGGGTCTTCCCCGGGCGCACTGACCGGGCCGGGGGGGTTCTCAGCTTTCAGTCATGGCCTCTGGCAAGGCGCACATCGGAAAGCCCGCCCCGCCCTTCCAGGCCACCGCCGTGGTGGACGGCGCCTTCAAGGAGGTGAAGCTTTGCGACTACAAAGGTGAGGGCGGCCGAGAGTGGGCCCAGGTGGGGGTGGGGCCCAGACAGCAGAGGCCTAACTCCTTTTCTATACCCGCTCCCTCCCGCAGGGAAATACCTGGTCCTCTTTTTCTACCCGCTGGACTTCACCTTTGTCTGCCCCACGGAGATCATCGCTTTCAGCGAGCGGGCGGAGGACTTCCGCAAGCTGGGCTGTGAGGTGCTGGGGGTTTCTGTCGACTCTCAGTTCACCCACCTGGCTTGGTATGAGCTGGGACGGGCAGGGAGGGGGGATGCAGCCAAGCGTCCATCCTCCAGGGGTCCAGCTGTGTGTTCCTGTGGGTGTTGCTCAACATTTGGGCCTCCCTTTCCCCCATCTTGAAAATAGTAGAATTAAGGACGCCTAAGTCCTTAATGATGATGGCAGTAATTAGCATCTGAAAACTAGTTGCTCGGCCCAGAGACTTGGAGATGCTTTATCTCACTTAGGGCAACACAACCTCCCTTCCAATAACTATTTCAAGGAGGTGGAAACTCCAGTTCTAGACAGTGAAGGGCTGGGCCCCAGCGAACAGAGCTAGAGCGAGGAGGAGGGGGATGCTGAGGCAGGCTTTCTGCCCCAAGATGTGGGAGGCCACCAGTGAATGTGAACGCCCTTTGCTGGACCTGGAGCCTTGGCTGAGTCTTCCCAGGTGTGGGAAAGAGCCCCTGTACCCTCTCAGGGTGCGGTGGGTGGGAAGGCTACACCCTTATCTCTCAGCTCCAGCACCCCCTCTCCAGCCTTTATCATACCCAGAGCCCCAGGGGGAGGACCCTGCTGTGTCAGGCATCTGGAGGTCCCAGACTGGTCTCTTTCACCCCTAGGATCAACACTCCGAGGAAGGAAGGAGGCTTGGGCCCCCTGAATATTCCCCTGCTGGCTGATGTAACCAGAAATTTATCTGAAGATTATGGTGTGCTGAAGAAAGATGAGGGCATTGCCTACAGGTACCGTGGAGCCCCCAGAAAGCCCTCAGTCCTCAGGGTGAGGGGACAACGCTTGGGCACTGTCTTCCCTGCCCCCAGCCCTGTGGCCGCTAGGGAGTCCATACTCCCTCCCCCCGGCCCCGGCAGTGGGAACTCTCAGCTCCTCACCATGAACCCTGATATCTTCAGGGGCCTCTTTATCATCGATGGCAAGGGTGTCCTTCGCCAGATCACTGTCAATGATTTGCCTGTGGGGCGCTCTGTGGATGAAGTTCTGCGGCTGGTTCAGGCCTTCCAGTACACGGATGAGCATGGGGAAGGTAAGCAGACACATGTTCACCTGTGTTCATATGTGGGTACACCCTCAGCCCTCGGCAGACACTGCCTGCCTACCCTGTCAGTTGTGAGGGACCCAGTTCAGAGCCTTGTCTGCAGGACTTGTCTAGTCTGGAGGGGGAGATACCCCAATATGACAGTGGGGGCTGGGAGGTAACAGATCTATCGAAGGTATCTGAGAAGGCATGTACCAGGTCAAGCTGGAATAATATTAGTCGAATCAGAGACCTTCTCATGTGCAGGACACAGCCTGATCCCAGGCCTTTCATGTCCAGTGGGTCTGTGACTGAGGGAGAAGCAGTATTAAAGGGGTCAAAAAGAGGGGTGGCGGGGTGGCTCAGTTAAGTGTCTGACTCTTGGTTTTGGCTCAGGTCATGGTCTCAGGGTCCTGGGATCCAGCCCCTTGTCAGGCTCCACACTCAGCAGGGAGCCTGCTAGAGGATTCTCCATCTTTCCCCCCCCCCCCCATCCCCCCCCCCCCGCCCACTGCACTCTGATACATTGTCTCTCTCTAATAAATAAATCTTTAAAAAACAGTTGGGGGGGGCGCCTGGGTGGCTCAATGGGTTAAAGCCTCTGCCTTCGGCTCAGGTCATGATCCCAGGGTCCTGGGATCGAGCCCCACGTCGGGCTCTCTGCTCCGCAGGGAGCCTGCTTCCTCCCCTCTCTCTCTGCCTGCCTCTCTGCCTATTTGTGATTTCTCTCTCTCTGTTAAATAAATAAAATCTTAAAAAAAAAAGAAAAAGAAAAAAGTGTGGGGGAGGTCAAAAAGAAATTGAATTCTCAGCCGGAACATCCCGTATCCGGGCTTCAAGAGCTTCTCCCAACGTGCTGTACGGCCTTGGGGCTGTACCACTTGGCTCTGGGCTTTTTCTTCTGCCACTCCAGCTCTTGCTTTGCCTCTGTTCATCCCCTCCTACTGCCCTGCCTCAAAGATGTGGCTCTAGCCTCACATGTGCATCCCTGTGTCTTCCCACAGTCTGTCCCGCTGGCTGGAAGCCAGGCAGTGACACAATCAAGCCTAACGTGGATGACAGCAAGGAATACTTCTCCAAACACAACTAGACTGCAGACAGGTGGAAAGCCTGGGCTGTTGGCCTCCACCTGCGCCTCTACCTGGATAACCCATTGCTGACCCAGGAAAGGCCAGACTCACCCCTTCAAACACCATAGTCCATGACCCTGGAGGGCTTGGCCAGGGCCTTCTCATTCTCCCCGCTGGGAGCTGGTGAATGGTGAGCCCCTCCTTGGACCCATCTACCTGGGCACAGGCCTAGAGGTGACCAATAAAGTATTAGGACAGACATGTGTTTCCATCTGTGTGGTCTGTCCTGGTGTCCTTGCTAACTCCGCCCCTTCTCCCTGGGAAATTGACCCTGTAGTTACTTATTTTCACCACAAGGTGGGAGTCTTACCTCATGCTCACTGCTTCCTCTTTCTCCTTGACCAGAGGGTACTTTGGGGGGAGTGGGGGTAGGCTGTTGGCCCCTTGCTGGGAGCAAGCCCCAGGATAGCCTGTGTCCTAAAACCTGGCCACACAGGACAGCACCCACTCTTTGCCATCAGCCAGCCTGTGTTCAAATACCATTCAAGAGCTGTGATTTTTCCTGGGTCTGTTCAACAGTCAGATAAGAATAAAGACAACTAACTCAACATCACCATGCACATTAAATGCAACACAGTATGTGAAGCTTGGGGCCCAGTTAGTAGTTATTAGGACTGTCCCTGGGCGGGAAGAAGGGAGGGGGGACCCAGTCCTAAGAGCAGAACCAGGAGTGGGAGCTTGAGCTCCGTGTACAGGCCCTGTTGTAAGCTCTGGCCCACTCTACGTTGGAAGGGTTGCCCACCTGCTCCTGAGGAGGAAGGATGACCGTCAGGCTGGGAGGCAGGTATTAGGAGCCAGAGTGTTCCCAAGAGTGCAGTTTGATGCTGTGCAAGTGGTTTTGCCATTCTGAACCCCCATTTCCTTCCACAGGATTGCTATCTAGATTATTAACCCTCCAAAACACTCATCTGGGCCTTGGAATTTTATCTACAGTCCTTCTCCAAGGCCGTCCATGGATTTCCCTGACCTCATCTACCCACTCTTGGTTCACTCGAATCCAGGCACACAATGATTTCTTGCTGTTCTTTAACAGACTGATCTTGTTCTGGCCACGGGAACTTTGCACGTACTGTTCCCTCTTGCCCAGAACGTTGTTGTCCCAGAACCTGGCTTTAAAAATGAAAAGTCTCATCATTAAAGGACCACGTTTGCAATCCATTCTCCAAAGCAGCTCGCCTCCCCTGCCCCATCACTACTACTTTGACCTCTTTTTTTCCCTTGCTAGCACTTACCACCATCTCCGAATCATGTTTGTTTATTGTCTGTCTGCCACCGTCCAGGCAGTGTATCCAAGGTTCATAAATGAATTAATGAATTGTCTGTTCTGCCCACCCCTCCCCTGCGGTTTCTCAGCCTGTGTTTATCTCCGCTGTTCTGGGGGCTTCCAGCTCCGAAGCCAGCTAGACCCCCCCTACGGGCGTACCAGCAGCCCTCCCACCTTTTCCAGCTGCGGGGGCGGGCGTCCCGCGAGAGGGCGGCGGCGGCGGCGGCGGCGGCGCCCGGCCGCCCAAGCAGCCGCCCCGGCAGGACCAGACCTGGCAGTCGCCCTGCTCCCAACCTGGCACCCGGGAGGGGAAACTGGCAGGCGGGCGCCGCCCTTCCTGGCAGGGGTGGGGGTACCGCGGCGGCAACGAAGGCTGCAGCAACCCCCCGCCCGGGTCAGGTCAGACGGAGCGCGCGTGGGCGCGGCGGGGCCGGGACGCCAACCCGATGGGGCAGTCTCTGGGTTGGCTCCGGGACCCAGGAGCATGGCCCTCCCACCGCGGACGCTCTGGACCCAGGCCTGGGGCTTTCCGGGCCCCGGCAGCCGCCTGCCTGGGAAAATCCCGGCCCCCTTCCCGGCGCCGCAGCCCTGCCCGGCAGAGCGGGGGAGGGGATTCCCGGAATCTGCCCGGAGACCGCCGTCGCGTCACTGGACAGAATCGGCCCATGTAGGGGCAGCGCTTCCGCTGCGTCAGCGGGGAAAGCCCCAGCGCGCGCACCTGGGCGGGGCTGCGCCCGCGCAATGCGCGTCTAGCCCCAGGCATCCTGCCCCCTGGTGATGGGCGGATGGACAGCGTCCCCGCCCTGGACCTTCCAACCCCAGAGATCAGGGGACAAGAGAAGGATTGGACGCCTGGACTACGAGTGCAGGATGCTTAGGTAGAGCTGGTGAGGAGGATACAGGTACCGGACCGAGTCACAAACAGGAGTGGGGTGGGGGCAGCCCACTATTCTCCTCCCTCCTCCCGCCCGGCTTGGAAAAAAAGACAACAGAAATTAATAAAGAACCATTTTTTTTTTTACTTAAATAGATTCAATAAAAAGTCGGAACAACAAACACACACACACACAAACACATCTTAAAATAAACTCTTTAGAGACCAAGTGCGTGTTTCTTATCCACAGTACGGTGCAGAGGGGGAGGGCAGGGGGCGGGGGTCCCTTCCCCAGTGTCCCCGCGGGCTTGAGTACCGGGCGGCGGGGCCAGCTCCGCCGCGATCGCCCCCTCCTCCCCTCCCTGTTAAATACACAAATATATTATATTCAATATGAATCGAGTCTGTTTCCAGCAGAAAAAAAAAAAAAAAAAAAACATACAAAAAAACGTGGAAGGGGGCTTGTAAACGTCGAGGTGGAAGGACCGGGCGCAGAGCGGGCGGGCAGGAGTCCAGTGTGGTTTGCGGTGCCGCGGGGGCCGGTGCCCACCGCCTGCCCCCTCGCCCCTTGGGAGGCGTGCGCCCAGTCGTCCAGACTGGGGGAATGTCCGTACGGGGGACGCTCAGAAGGCGTGTCCCTTGACCCCGAGCAGCAGCTGGCAGCCGTTGCTGACGTGGGTCATGACCTTCTGTTTGAGCTGGGCCACCTGCTCCCGGAGGAGCCCAGCAGTGCTCGACAGCCCCGCGTTCTCGGCCTTGAGTGTCTTCACCTTGTCCTCCAGGCGCGCGATGCGCTCCAGCTTCCGCTTCCGGCACTTGGTGGCCGCCAGCCGGTTCCGCAGCCGCTTGCGCTCCACTTTGATGCGCTCCTGGTCTTCCATATTGATGGGGGACACCGGTGGCGTGGCGTCGCGGCTGCGCGCCTCAGGCACCGTCTGCGGTTCCTCCTTGAAGGTAGAGGCTGCTCGGCCCAGGCCCAGTTGCGCCGGGTGGCCGCCAGCGAAGGGTGGTGCGTGTGGGAGGTAGCTGATGGTGGCCGTCGGGTACGAGCTCCCAGTCCCGACGGCGGCCCCGGCGCCTCCAGAGGGCGCAGAGGCTGGGGAATAGCTGCTGAGGTTGGTGTAGACTGGAGGAGGCTCCGGGCCGGCGTAGACGCCCCCGGGCCCAGCCGGGGGCCCCGAGCTGGCGCCCAGGGACACGTTGGGGGGCGTCACGTGGTTCATCTTGTGCAGGTCGTCCAAGGCTTTGACAAAGCCGTCGGCGAAGCCCTCCTGCTCCTCGGTAACACCGCCCCCGGCGCCCCCCGCACCTCCGCTGCTGCCTCCCCCGCGGGGGTAAAAGTACTGTCCCGGAGGCGTGGGTGTCGTCGTGATCACTCCGTTGCTGTTGGGGACGATCAGGCGCTCCAGCTCCGATGAGGCAAGCTTGAGCGATGCGCCTGTGTCCGAACCCTGGCCGGAAAAGTAGCTGCTGCCACCGCTGCCCTCTGGTCCCGGGCCCCGCGCCCCGGGTGCTTTGAGACTTCGGTAGGGGTCGGCCAGGTTGAGCGCCAGGCTGGGTTTCAGGAGTTTGTAGTCGTGTAGAGAAAGGCCGCCCGGAGCCCGGCCGTATCCCGCTGCTGCGTATGAGTCGTCGTGGTAGAAGGGCTGTTCCATTTTAGTGCACATCCGGGCGGCCCAGGCGGTCTGGGGGGGTCCCTGCGGGGCCGCCCCGGGCCTCGCTGCGGCGAGCGGCGCTCTGTCTGCGACGGTAGTGGCTGGACCAGGTATCTGGACGCGCGATCCCAGGAGCTGGCACCGGCAGGGAGAGGCCAGCCGGCGGCTGTACACGGAAGCTCCGTGCGGCTTCTCGAGCCCTTCTGCCCTGTCTGGTGCGCTCGCTTTCCTGGTGTCGCTTCCCCCTGCTCCCCGATCCCCGCTGATTCCGATGCTGGCCTGGCCGCGCTCAAGGTCCCGGCAGCTCAGCCTGAGCCACACGCCTTTATACGGCTATTGTCAGCTACGGAAGTGCGCTCCGATTGGTCCTCTCTCGAGCCGGGCCCCCGCGCCCCCCTCCTCCAGCGTGGGGAAGGGGAGGAGGCGGCTCGCGTCACTGTCAGGAAGCGCGTGTCCTTGTAAACAGCGGCCACGGGCTGGGTGGCTCGGCGCGGCTGCAGGGGGAGGGGCTCGGGGGACCCTGGGGTGTGCGAAGAAGGGGGTGCTGGTCCAAGACACGGGGAGGGACTCCAGGGAAGGCGATGATTCCCCTGGATACGAGGAACCGATACAAAGCAAGTGTGTCTGGGGGGCGCGGGGGGAGGGTCCTACAGGGTGCACACGAAAAGGCCTGAGGGACTCCGAGTATCCGGGAGGGGTTGGAGGGCTGATTATACACTGGGAGACCCCGCAGAGGTAAGACAGGAGGGTTAGCCTGGGTAAATGAAGGAGGGGTAAGGAAATACCTGATTCAGTAATTGTGTGGGGGTCCTGAGTACAGAGGAGTTAAAGGACTTGAACTTTTACTGGAGGGACTGAATCCAGGAAAAGTGAGGGGGTGGGGAATCAAAAGGGTGAAGGGAGGAGATTACTCAAGAAATGAGTAGGGGTCCTGAAGTCCATGAGAGAGACTGAGGGCCTCCATAATGGGAAGGAATGGGGGGGAGGGGATATAGATATGAAGAAAGTGAGTATTCCGGGGTATACTGGGGAAAAGATGGGGAGAGAAGATGGGGTTAGGGTTAAAGGTTGGGAGTCACTGGGGTGATCTGCAAAGCCCTGATAAAGGAGAGTTAAAAGTGTCGGGACACACCTTAAGAGCTGAGATGATAATGACACAGGGTCTTCCAGTTGGGACTTGAGAGGAGGGATTTTTGAGGATCCTGGGGATTTGGACTACTGGACCTTCCATGATTGGCACCCCCTCTTATGGGTGACTTCTAGGCGCCTGTATACTTTGCTCCCATCTCAAAGCCCTCCCCCAGTGACTCGGGGCTTGACCAACACCGCGTCGCTCCTGGTGCCTGTACCTACCCCGACGGCCGGGGCGCGGTCGCCCAACCCCACTCCTTCCTTAGAAACAAGCTGGGGAAAGAGCGCCGCGGCAGGAAGTGTGGCAACAGCCCCCGGGGAAGGAGCCCGGCCCTGTCTCCGTCACTCGGATCCTCCGGGACTCTGCGCCCCGCCCTGGGTCCGGTCGGGTTCCTTGCCTCAGAAGAGGAACGTGGACGTGCGACCCCGGCGGAGGCCAAGGGTGCACAGAACACGTTCAGCAGCAGAGGCCTCCAATCACTGTACCCCTCTACCAGCAATGGTTCAGCCCGCGGCACCCGCTGGCGATCGCGGAGGCTGGCAGTCCGGGGACGATTCCATTAGTCCGACCGAGGGGGACGTACCGGGGAGCGGGCCTGGTCGCCATGACAACAGGCCGGAGTCCGCGGGCTGAACTGGGGGCGGGGCGGCCCCGGGAGGCTCTCTCCCGCGCCCAAATAAGGACACAGGAAGAGGTGGGACCAGCGCCGTCCCGCGGCCCTGAGCCAGGACCCGGGAGCCCGGGTATCTGCCAGGTCCCAGGGCGCGCCCGGGCCCCCGGACGGCTAGTCCCGACCAGCCCCGCCGCCGCCCCCGAGGCCCCCACGGCCGCCTCGCTGAGCCCCACCCAGCTGCTCTGGGGCTGCGTCTTGCCGAGCCCGGCCCGACCCAGCCTGGCAGGTCCCCGCCTGCCCGCGGGCCTGGGTCGGACTTCGCCCCCGGCCCGGCAGGGCGCGGAGGGGCGGGCCAATGCCTCGAGGCGCCCCCGGCGCCGAGGCGGGCTGGCACGACTGCCTCCTTCCTCGGGTGGGGTACCCTTCCTTTACAGCAGGAGGTCTGGGCCTCTCCCCCCACATCGCTAGCGGCTGGGGTGCTCCATCCCTCACACCAGTTGGCTAGGGGCCCTACTCCTATTTTAGTCTAGGGGTCCGTCAACCATCCAGAATTCAGACCATCCAGAAATGGGGGGGTCCCTCCCCCTTCGGGGTGTCTCCTGCAGTCAGAGGAGGCCAGAAAATCCAAGGGGAGAGAATCTGAGGGAACTCAGTGCCCCTTCCCCAGCACTATATGGAGGTTTAGATGGTGAGACTCCTAGTTAGACTTAAAGTGGGACTTCCAAGCAGAATGTGAGCCAAGAGAACCAGAGGTGAAAGATCAGTCTCTATCTTCTGGGGGGATGGAGGTTTCTTTAGGGTAGAGAGAGGCTGAGGGGCTAGGCTGACTTTATAGGGCAGGGGGAGAGCACACTCAGTGTGAGGGAGAGAAGGAAAATGAAAGAGGCAAAAGAGAAACTGAACTTGTGGGGGCAGGGGGAAGTCCAGCAGAGCACCGAAGTTAGGGAGGAAGGTCCCATGAGAAGCTGGGGGTATCCCCATCTTTGGAGGGTCCTTGTGACCCCTGGGTGCTCCCTCCCCTCCTCCTCTTGCTTGAACTGCTCCCCTAACCCCACCCCAGGCTCAAGGGAGATTCCAGCGGCTGGCCGCTGAGTCTGGCGGGCACGCTGCCAGGCCTGCGTCTCCCGCCCATGCTCATAACTGCAGCTGACATCTGGCCGGGCCCTGCGGGGGCGCAGCGGACAGCGTTGGGGGGCTGGGCAGGTCTGGCCTGAGGGCAGCATCTTGGGAAGCCAACCTGCAGGTCTCACAGGCCAGGAGGCCACAGTGAATCAGCCCTGGCCAGGGCTGAGGTTGGCCATGCAGGGGCGGGGGGGGGGGGGGGGGGGGGGGGGGGGGGGGGGGGGGG